CCTCAGAGGCTGTCCCAGGCCACATGCTTTCCCTACATGTCCACCTCAGCAGTCCCACCTCCATCCATCCTCCTCTGCCTCAATCTCATGTTGATTACCTTCAGCACACTTAGTATAATTTGCTGTTTACAGACCTGTTAACCTTTTCTGTCTGTCTCCCTATCTAAACATAAGCTCTGTGAGTAAATTCATCTGCCTTATTCACCACGACAACCCTTGTGTCAAGCACAGGTCCTGGCATTTGGTAGGGACCCTATCAATATTTGCATAAATGACTACAAGAGTATGCTCTAAGCATCATGTAGAAGCACCCATCATTCCCACTTCTTAAACATTCAAAAATACAGTGGGAAGAACTGGAGGCTTGGCTCAAGGGGTACAGCACTTGCCTTGCAAGCATGAAGCCCTGAATTCAAACCCCAGTACCACTGAAAAGGAAAAAGTAGAGTGGTTACTAGTTTCCTATGAATAGTGTGAAAACACAGATGCTACATTTTATTGTTTTACAGTTTATATTACTTGTCTCATTTTTTTATATAACTTCCTCCCAAAGGGTGTGTTCTTATCAGCATACTATCTTTCTATGAAACTTATCTAGTTTTAGATGAAGTGAATACACTTAAACTTTTTTGCATTTCAAGAAATAAAAAAGACACATGGTGACATTTCCTCCCCACTTATATTCATCATGAACCTCCCCAAACAGGTAACCATTGTTCTTGGTTCCTTGTTTAATCTCCCAGACAATTTTCATGCATACACAAGCACTTCCTTTTTTTTAAACAGAAACAGTAGCATACAATGTACATTCCCCTACACTTTGCTATCTTGAGATCTTTCTGTATCAATTCATAAAGAGCTGCCTTTGTTCTTTGCCACGACTTCATTCACCATTTGGGCATATTATGATTTATCTAAATCTTCTACTAACCGACACTCAAACAAGGCAATGAATAATCTTGTGCCTATATTATCTCACACAAGTACAAATGTGTCTGCAAGTTAAATTCTTAGAACTGGTATTGCTGGGTCAAAGGATTTATACACTTGTAACTTTAAAAGTTACTGCCCTGTGCTCCTGTATATCAGGATCCACCCAGAGAAACAGCCACCCCATTAAGATTCTGAAATAGAAAGAATTTAACATAAGGAACTGATCACACATGTGATGAAAAACTGTGAAGTCAAATGGTAAGACAATCCGGAGATGAGCAAGAAGCTTTCCTGCCTTTTGGTCAGAAGTTCAAGGGGAAAAGCTATTTCCAAAACTCAGGGACTGGAAACAAAGGGCAGAAGCTAGAAACAACATAACCTGATGGCAGTAGCTGGAACCAAAAGGATCAGGCAAGCCAGGCACTGGTAGCCCATGTCTGTAATCCCAGCTACTCAGGAGGCAGAGATCAGGAGGATCGAGGTTTGAAGCCAGCCCCAGGCAAATAGTTTGGGAGACCCTATCTCAAAAACACCCCACACAAAAAACAGGGCTGGCAGAATGGCTCAAGTGGTAACGTGCCGGCCTAGCAAGCTGAAGGCCTAAATTCAAAAAAAAAAAGGCAGCTGAGGAGACAGTCTAAGACAGCCTATGGGAAGGGAAACAAGCTGCTTTCTCCCTTCTCCCTGCCACCCAATCTCCCACGGTGGCTCAAACCCAGCCCCAAGGCAACTGACCAAGGACCTGGGAAATGTTGCCTGCACGGTGAATCCCTCTGCAGGGAAAGGGCAAGAAACAGACCTTAGCCAACAGGACACAGGCTATATTAAGCCTCCTTCAAGATGTAACTAATTTACGCTCCTACAAGCAAATGTTGAGGCTGCTTTGCCAAAGTGCTGTTTTCAAACTTGGGGGTTAGTGCTGTCTGACAGGTAAAAGGTGGGATCTCAATCTAGTCTTTATTTTTTACTATGCATGCAGCACTTCACTTGAGCACAAGCTTAGTTAGTCCCCATCTACATTGATGGGGGGGGGGGCAGGAGGAAGCCAATTAAAGCTAATTTACCTCATCTGCCACAATGGCCCACTCAGGAACATCAATCAGACAGATGGTGGCAATAAGCCAAATCAGCCAGTCACTCTCCAAGTAGACAAATCCCAAGAACTGTTCTAGAAAAACCGAAAGGCAACCAAGAGCCAAAGGAATAAAAATACCTTAACCACACTGCACACATTATAAGGAACAATGTGTTCTTGTAATCTCGTATCCCCACTTGCTCCTCCTAGTAACTGCCTTCCAACCATTCAAGCCACCATCCTCCCCTTATCTTGCATTGAAAGAATAATTATATCCTAGGCAAGAAGTTAAAGTATAGTGGCCTGTAATCCCAGGACACAAGGAGGCTAAGATAGGAAGAGAGTGAATTTGAGGCCACCCTGGGCTACATACCAAGAACCCCATCTCAAAAAACATCAATGACAAAAAAAAAAGCAAATAGGAATCAGTTTTTAAAGTCTTTTTACCTGACCAACACATTAATGACAACAAAAAAGATGTTTTAAATTATCTTCAGCCTCTGTCATCTGTTTGATTAGATTTACCCCATCTTCTAAACAGGCTGAAAAGACTCCCCCAGACAGTTTATACTCTAAAAATATACCCCAAAATGCTATGCCTTCCCATCGGCTGGCAACTGAAACTTCTGTTTCAAAGGGCTGAATTTTATTTTTAAAAGCATGAATTTTAAGGCACAGTATTTTTAAAAAACCTAAATGGCATTAAGCTGTATGAAAACTGTATTTCACTTCAAACCTCCAACAATCAGGAATTAAATATAAGCATGTCTATTTTACACAATAATCATTGTATAATGACTCATATTTCAAAACTGTCAAAGATTTTCACTTGATTCACAATTAAGTACTCTAAGATGGCCAAACATATCTTTGTCTTCCACAATGCAAGGAGAAACGATTTTGACAAAATCTTTTCAATAAAGGTTAAATAAAGGTTAAAAGTTGCTTTCCAGCACCTAAAAGGCTGCCTGGCATTTTAGAAGAAAAATCAATAATTATTTGTTCACTGTTGAATGTTCCAGTGAGGTGAATGAAATTATATCAGACATTTAAAATATCCCCATGCCTTTTATAAATTGGTTTTTTTCCCCCAAATTTAAAATATGCACTTGATAAACCTGGAACTATAAAAATAATGTCACAGTTTTTCTATTGCTTAGGTCAAGAGGTATAAAATAACTGCTTGTTTTTAATAGTTGGAAAATGTTTCAGTCAACAAACTTACCAAATTTATGCCAACCATTGGGCATTACTGTTTCCAATTTTTTCCTATTATAGGGTAATGAACATCTTCATGCATCAAATTTTGTCTTAATTTCAAGGTTGTTTTCCCTGTGATATATTCCCAGAAGAGATATTAATAGCCGAAAGATAGTTTTAGCCTTTTGATATTTAATAATATCCTTTATTATAGTCTTCACGATCTATAAATTGCTTCCTTTTTCTCTTTATACCTGCTTTTACATTTAAGCCTTTCACAGTTCTTAACTCACAGTCAGAAACAACTTTGGAACAAAATCACCAATCCAGCTGGCTTCTTTGTCTCTACCATCAAATTTTTAAATATTACAGCTGTTTGTCCTTTATTTTTCTAACAAGGGACAAAGTGCTATGCCAAATTGTAATAGGCAAAAGGCAGAACCACAGAGAATCCATTACTTGGGATCTGGTGTCTCCAGACAGACAGCCTGGTTGTAGGAGGGTTTGCAACTGGCTCTTTCTTGCCACAGCACCCTCTTTCAAAAACAACACACCCACTCGGTGCCACAGTGGCTTCAACTATGAGAACTCAACTCGCCAAATGCCATGCCCGGTGCCAACTTCCCACCAGCTGGGGCCGCGTGGTTTCTCCCAGAAAATACATGGCCCTGTATGTGAAGCACTTGAATTCTACAAGGCACCTTGATTAAGCGCTTCATCCTGAAGCCGTCAATACTGCTGATTCTTACAGGCAGCTGCTCCAGCAGCCTGTAATTAAGATTTTTTTCTAAACACTCCCTTATTACACGGGGTTCTGATGATTCCATCTGTCAGCAGAAAGGAGATCGTTAGAGAAAGTAAGAGAGAAGCCTTCACTTGGGGTGTTCGCGTTAAAAAAAAAAAAAAAATCAGGGCATTTAACCCTCTGCGTTCCAAATCAATGACCCACTCCTTACAGAGGGGCACCTGATTCTGTCTGGAAAACCTAATACACAACAGTAATTTGTATCGCACGAAATAATTTACAGCAAACACGACTCTTTCCGCACGAGGAAAATCAATGTCACACGCACACAACCAACCCGAGCTACCCTGGACGCGGGGACGACCCATTTCGGAGAGGTGTCCCCCATACCACACCTTACCTCGGGTCTCGCCTCCGATGCCGGCTGGCTGTAGCCCCTGACTTCCACTTTTGGCAACATTGTAACATTGTTTATTTATTTTTGCTTACTTTGCACCCTTTACTATTTCATCAAACGCGCGCTGCCCCCTCCCCGTGTAAGCAAGTCCCATAGCGATCGCTTCTGACCTGGAGCCTGGAAAATGGTCGGGATTGTCAACCTGTCCCCCCCTCCCCTCTTGGACGCCCGGGGGAGCGCCGGATTCAAAACTTTCCCCTCCCCATTTCCCACGGGTTCGCCCCCTCGGACCACCTGAGAAGCTGAAAAAGGGGTCATCCGAAACAGCTGGGCTCGGGAGGGTGTGGACGCCCTTGGCGATAGGATGCGAGGAAGGTCGTCCCACAAGGTCCCCAAGTCCCAAAGGGCGAACCCCCCCACACGAGCCTCCGCAGAGACCCCGACACCCTCCCGAGCACAGGGTGGCGACCCCTATTCCCTTCCCTGCACGTCCCCTCCATGCGCCCCTAAGCTCCCCGGCCCCAGCCCCGCACGCCTCAGGCCTCCTGCGGTCGCCCTCCGGCCTCGGCGCTGCCTCCGACCCGGTCTCCTCAGGCGACCCCCCGGCCCCAGGCCGCCAAGTGGGCGGGCCACACCTCCGCGACACTCACCGCCACCGCCCTCGCCACCACCGCCGCCGTCTTCGTCCATCTTGAGGCCACTCCCGCAGCACACGAGCCCGGAGCCGCGACAGGTAAAGGACCGACGGGGAGACACAGCCGTAAGGAGCGCGCAAGCGACCGGGCGGCTCCACAGCGAGCGGCCCGGGTCGCGGCCGGGCCTCCTCAGGCCGGGCGGGGCCCAGCGCTCCGCGCGCCGTCACGTGATCTAGGCCCCGCCCCTTCTAGGGCGCGGTAGGCGGGGCCCAAGGCCGCACGGCCCCGCCCTCTGCAACCCACTGGGCGGGGCGGTGTCTGCAGTAGCTCGAAGCCTACACCTGGACCCTTGTGGGACGCAGACCACCAGTGCGTTGCTGGAAACGCCCTTCAAGCAGCCTGGGGACACTGGGACGCCCCCATTCTACAAAACCCTGTGGCCAGAGTTTCAACTCGCACGTGCACTGGGGGCTAGGGTGGGAAGCTCTAGAAACTAGCGCACTGATAAGTCAGCTTCCCCACACACGCACACTTCTAGCTGTAAGGACGGGTTAGAATCATTCCAGCCTCTCAGCTTTCTGATGTATAATGGAGCTCATTTCCTGTCCTGACGATGGGTGCATTTTAAAATTTACAAAGTATGAAGGCTTATAAAAATGAATATTGTCATGAGGCTGGAACCGAATCCCAATCCTGCACACCTGGATACCTGGGAGCCAGCCCTCAGAGGGCATGCTAGGGGTTGGACAGTCTGGCGTCAGATGCCCTTGGAATTTTGCTCCAGTCTCCCTTGGATTACTGCCATCTGCCCTGGATTTATGATACAGAAGGAGCTCTGAATTCAATTTCCCGTGGGTACAGCCAGGGTCTGGGCGGAAGGCCCCAGTTCGCCCCTGTTCCAAATAAATCTATAGATTGCCTTTTTCATTCTGCATCTCTTTTCCAGTAACCCCTCCTGTAGCATTGAACGTGGGCCCTCCGCCTTCCTAAGCCCTTTCTGCACGAACTAAATTGCATTAAAGAAAAGCAAACATTGTAATAAAGGGGATTGTTCATCTGTAATAGAATTTTCTAGCAACTGTTTTATATTTACAAATTGCCCATTGACTCCAAGGATTCTTCTACCATCATCTATCAAAGTAGATAGCTTTCACCTTTTTGTTCAAGGTTGCACGATGACCTCAAAGTGTTCAGTTTCCTAATAACCTCAAGAATTAAACATCCAGCATTCTGGTGCTTCCTAGGCTGTAGGGGACACTTCTGGGTGTAGATAGATTCTTGGCAGCTTGTGTGACAAAGATGTAACAGAAAAGGGATCTGGGAGTCAGGAGATGTAAGTTCAAGTCCCAGCCCACAGATGTGGCTTCCTGATCTTGTTCCTGTCAGTTCTGTTATCTCAAGATTACAGCATCACTACTGAGAAAAAGACAGCCTACATTGACCTTGATAAGGTGTCATGTGGAGCTTTGAACTCAAAAATACTATCAATTATAAATGTTTTTCAATACTAATTCCTAATTCTTCCCTTTTCTTACAGTATGATCCATGGTCGTTTCAGAGTTTGAATCTAAAAATTAGTTCTGATAGAATTTTCATCAGAATAAAACATGACTCAATTATTTGTAAGCAGAATATATTGTCCCCAGAGGTTAGCCTGGGACCCCATTTCAACAAAGCCTGCAATAAATGTTGCCAGAGGGAGGATCAGATGTGGTGGCCATGCCTGTAACCCCGGCTCCTCGGGAGGCATTGTAGAGAGGATTGTGGTTGGAAGCCAGCCTAGACAAAAAGTTAGTGAGACTCCATCTCGACCAATAAAGGCTTGGCTTAGTGGTACACACCTGTCATCCCAGCTAGGGGGGAAGGGTAAATAGGAGGATCATTGTCCAGAGCAGGTTTTTTTTCCTTAAAGTCATGCTTTATAGTTTTTCCCACCAAGCTAGTTAAGCACCCTAGTTATTCACTGAGATAAGCACATGATTATGCCGAGTTTATGAGTGCCTTGCTCAGCTGTTGAAAGAGTTTTATAAGTGAATTTGTTTGTTTGTTTGTTTGTTATAAGTGAATTTGTAAGGAAAACATTCATGCCGCAGACAACTGCCAAGATAAAGATAATTGTACTAAACCCACAGATTATGTTGTTGCAGTTACTTGGTCAGACAATACAGATTTAGGCACTTTTTTTTTTTTTTGTGGTGGTGGTGGTGCTGGGGTTTGAAATCAGGGTTTTGTCAAGCATTCTACTACTTGAGCCACACCTCCAGCTTTTCTTTCTTTTTTTTTTTTTTTTAACTCAGTGCTTACACCTTAAGCCACTCCACTAGCCCTTTTTTGTGATGGGTTTTTTCAAGATAGGGTCTCTAACCTTGATCCTTTGAATCTTTGCCTCCTGAATAGTAGGGATTACAGGCATGGGTCACCTGCACTGGGCTCTTGTGTCTATATTTAGATAGGGTCTTGTGCTTTTGCCTGGCCTACCTCAGACCAAGAACCTCCTACCTCCATCTCCCATAGACACCTCTTATATTCCAGTTTCTGATCCTAGTGGTGGGAATACAGTGATAAAAGAGACAGATTCAGTTCCTGTCTTCATGGGACTGATAACCACTAAGCAGGTAATTACACAAATAATTGTTTAATTGGAATTTTGAAGTCCTATCCTATTAGCTGAGGCTCTCACCATGTTTGTTGTTTCATGTGTACTGGATGTGCTGCCTTAAAGTCCTTCAGCATAGATTATGATCTGTATTTATTCTATCTCCACTGTGTGCTGCAGGGTGTGGCTGTGTTAAAAAAAAAAAAAAGGCAGATAAGGACAGTATTTGCTAGATGAAGTAGAAGACATCCTGAAAACATGTTGAAACCTATTTATCAGCCCTCTGACCATTGCAGAAATAGTTTAAGAAACCAAGAATGTGCATATTCCAGAAAGGTCAGGATTTCTTTGCACATTCATCTCTCTATCCTGGAAGTGGAAGTTGATGAAATCAAACAGAAGTGTCCCCTCCCAGCGCTAAGAGGCACAAGAGCCAAAACCTTGCCAGGGCTTGCTTTTTCCTTCCTTCCTTCTTTCTTTCCTTCTTTCTTTCCTTCTTTCTTTCCTTCTTTCTTTCTTTGTTTCATTTTGGTTTTTGTTTTTTAGAGAAAGAGAGCGAGGGAAAGGGGGGAAGGAAAGGAGGGAGGGAAGGAAAGAGAGAGAGAGAAAAGAAGGGAGGAAGGGAGGAATGAAAAAAGGAAGGAAAGAAGAAAGGGGAGGGAGGGAAAGAGGCAGGGAGAAAAGAAGGAAGGAAGAAAGGAAGAGAGGGTGAAAGGGAGGAAGGAGGAAGATAGAAGGAGAAAGGGAGGAGGGAGAGAGGGAGAAAAGGAAAGAAGGAAAGAAGGAAGGAAGGAAAAAAGAGAGTCTCTCTATGTAGCCCAGGTTGCCCTCTAACTCTCTGTCCTTCTACCTCAAACTCTCAATTGCTGGGATTACAGGCAGACACCACCACACCCAGCAGTTGATTTCTTTTGCCCAGCCAGAAAGAGTCCACACTGTGTGAGCTCTTGCTGTTCCCAGACCCTGCACAGAGCAGTTTCCATCTCTTCTGATAAGGGTCAAGAATGCAGACACAGTGGTGACAGTTAGCAAATGGGGGCCTCAACTAATCTGTTACATCTGGTCGGGGGTCTGGTCCAGTCTGGAGAAAGCATACACAGCAGCCAGCTCACTGTTGGCTCATGGTCACAAAAGGAAAGTCATGTTTTCCAAAATCTAATTTCATCTAAAAATGGAGATGGTTTTGAACAGATTGATGTACTCTACTCTGCTCATGCAAACGAGAGGGTTCCACGTGACAAGTCGCATCCTTATTAAATTTTCAAAAGCCCAGACATCCTGTACTTTGCAAAAACCCCATCTTTCTTTCCAATCGCTCAGTGCCATCACCTTGGCCTTGTTTCCCCCTGGAACCCTTACAGCTGACATCAGTTACCAGTCTCACATCACCAAGGACAGCTTAATTCCTCTTAGATTGATTTGTAACTTGCATTTTTTTTTTTGTAAGAACAAAGATGGTCAAATTTCTCTTTCATGGTAAACTTGGGAAAAAAAAATAATTTGACTCCTATTCCAAGATATTTGCCCTTGGAAGAAAGACATACCCACTCAGGGCAGCAGTGATATTAAGAGTTATTGTAAGCAAGTTTTCTTCTACAGGAAAATTGTGTTATTTTTATCTAGTTCTTCATTTTTATAGTTTGTCCCTGACCTACTAAAAAAACTAATTTCAAAAATTAAGTTGGTCAGAAAAGAAAAAAAGTTGGTCAGAGTCTATAGTGTACATCTTAAAATCATCAAGAGAGCCTATCCTGGGGTGAAGAGTGTACTATCGGTCAGGTCATTAAAAAGAAAAAGAATAGAATGACAAACATAAGGACACAGAACATCTGTGACCATGGTCCTCTTTGTGGGAAGTGTACTCGTAGCCAGAAAGTGACAGGACACTGGTCACGGAGCTCTGTGACTCAGAGGCTAACTACAGTCAAACAAATATGATTCCTCAGTGTGATTTGCAGAATGGCAGAAACCAGCCATGAGTTCCAGCCATTCACTGCCTTTGTGAAGAGGCCGTAGCACCCAGTGATAATTTTAGGGTTCCAGCTGTGATGTATCACAAAATGCCATACACTGATACCTGGATAACCCAGGCTGTAAGTTGGATAGTCCAGATACGTCTGTTTCTTGGCTGTGTGACCTTAGGCAAATTGCTTCACCTCTCTGTGTCCTGTTTTCTATGAAACTTCTGCTAATGAGAGCAACAAAACCCCGGTCCAAAGGATGCTATGAGAAGTAGATGCTATGGTGTCCGTACTTAATGTTGTTGCTGTGACACACCGAGGTGGACAGTCACCCCCCCACACACCATCATTCACGAGACAGATGATAAATCTACAAGCTGGAGGCAAGGTTGAATTTCAGTGAGGGATCTCCTCTTTGCCCCCCCCCCTCACATCTAGTTGCTGTCTTCCCATCCTGTCCTGCCTTCTAGAACCCATCCCTACTTTGGTTTGTGTCTTCAGCTTATAAATTGTCCAACACTTCATACTCATTGGTCCACTAAAGAACTGGGTTCATGCTGGCCATGGTGGGGCCACACGGCCATCAGCAAGGCGAGGAGGATGATGCAGGGA